AGAAACCTATTGAGTTTAAATAAGCAATTTAGTTCGACCCATTTACAATGCCATATCTTCCACTAATCCCTACGTTTCGACGCGAGTGTCATCGTCATAGTGCGATTGAGACAAAAATGCTGAATGATTAGCTGTGTCCTTCGATCCACAAAGTTGGATCCGAATTTAATCTTCAACGGTGACCAGGATCGGATCTTCCTCTTCATCAAGCTCCTATCTCCTACCAACATGGCTGAATTGGCCATCTGCCTGCTTGCACCAGGGAAGCCAATGAGAAACATATCGCGTTGCCCCACATCGTGTCAATCCACAATATCGGGAAGACGATGAATCCTGGCATTTTTATTTCTCCGTGCAGATTGATACATACGAACAATGCCACGATTTGAATGGCAGGTAAGCAGATGATAATCGCTGGCAAGATTCTCTCGGAGAGATATGCATTCACCGATTTCTCCAAAACTTGAATTTTTCTGTATAGCATCTCGCACGTGTTTTGGGCGAGCACGTGTCCGGTTTTTGTGACCTGGCTAAACCATATCAAGTTTTTAAAATTTTTGTAAGCTAATTACGAAGTTGAGTTTAGCTTAACTTATTAAATTATAATAAAAAATGTCAGACAAATTCTAAGACTATGAAATCAGAAATCAGCCCCTAAATTTAAATATGTATTCAAATTTACATAGAATCGTTGGAGTATGGTTTAATTAGTACACTTTTAATAATTAACGATCAATTCTAAAATTTACTGGGTTACAAGTATTCAAGTAAGTTTCACCCTTTTTGAATAAAACGTTGATACGTAAAAAAACACGGAATTACGGAAGAAATTGTTTTTATAGTATAGACAATTTCTGGCACAAGTACAAGAAACGAGCTCCAACTAGCTAACAGTTCGTATAAATAATTAATAACAGAATCACTTAGTGGCGTGAATTTCTGCATTTCTTGCAATGCAGTGCACAAAATGTAGAAAGGGCGCAAGAAAATGACACTCTTTCCACATTTCTTGCACCTTCCAGCCCTGCCCAATGCTCCTTCAACTAACTGATACTTGAAATTATGAGTCTTTTTCACCAACCTTTCCAAAATTCTAATGTAGCTAAGAATACAAACTATTCCCAGTAAGAAGACGTAGATAAGCACGATTCCTCCTGCTGATACGATATGCAAAGACATCCACAGTTCAAAGATGTGGACCAAAAGAGCAACCAAAGTCACTGACCAGTCCCCAGCATCTGTCATTTCGTTACAAGCTGGCAACATGGACAAGATGAAGGGCGGCGTGCAAGGTGCGTACGTCAGTAGGGCAAATTGGAACGTTGGAATTGCACGGATTGATACCTCCGATATAAAGACGAGTATCTTGAGCAGTTTAAGACCGTAATTGTGAGGACGATCTGGGAAGAAATCTGAAGGATACACTCAAAACAAAACGGTGTCAATATATGACTTAACCGCCTTGGTGACAATTGTGATTCCGAGCAGTAATGAATTTTTTCCGTCCGGTCATAACATTATAACTACCTGTATCAAAATCATCATAACTTGGATTCAACATTGTAACCAATGCGGTTAAGTCATACATATATTGACACCGGCGGTGTTGATTCGACAAATTGTTATTTTGAGTGTATGTATAACAGATAAAGTTGTGCATACATATTTAGATATTCGTCGACCAGTTTGATGTAGATTCAATTCGTGCATAATCAAATTTACGTTTTATGACAAAAACCATTTTAAGTGAAGCTAAAATTCCGTGACAAGTCTGAGGACAAACTTGTAAAAAACTAGTTCGAATTGCGTTTGCATGAAAACGATGCGTGTTCTGTATTTATAAATACCATTGTTACCTCGAAAAAATTCTTACAAATAACTTTATAAAAATTTTTTCGGGGATAATTTTTGACACTAGTGCAAGAAATGCAAGACATATACGCCACCTTGGGGGGGGGGGAAATCCTCAACATTACGTACGGTACAAAGGGTGAGGCCATATGTGGCGACCTTTTCTTATTTTCCTTGCGGCTTACACTTTAGCAATTTCTTGTAATACGTCGTGACAAATGAGGGAAAAGTGAAAGAAATCTAGGTTAAGAAACCATACATACATATATAATTATGTAATAACCAATTAAGATTTACCCTTACCATCAATCACGTCTTTTTCAAACTGCACAAAAGTGTTAAGAATTTGAAACAAGCAGTTTTCCAATTTTATATCCCACCTCAAAACCGAACCCATCAGGTAGACACAAAAGAAACCGAACCCTTGCAATTTTCCAATCAAGGTTAACCCCCCGAAACAAATGTTGGCAAGCATTGCGGTGCAGTACACGAAGCACAAGACGCACTGAAACTGCACCATGCGAAGATGTCGAACCGACTTTACGACGACTAAGCGATTCCTAGATTAAGAATTATATGATCCCCCACAATATTGTTTTCTTAAGAAAGAGTAAGGAGGATAATTTCTGTGCCTCAACTCAGAGTTCACTGAAACCCCTACAGTTAATAGATAGGCAAACTCAGATTTAGCACATTATTAGCACAAATTATGAACACAAGTTTGTAGAAAACAATTTCTTGGTAATTGAGTGTGTTTTCATGGCAAGTACTTAAATTCAAGCGTGTTTTCTTGACAACCTTCTGCTTAGAATTCTCAGTATTGCTTCACTTAGGACATACATATGCCGAAACATACATATGACTTAGACATACATATGCCGAAATGTTTTCTGTATAACACGAAACTTTGATTATTCGAAATGACAACAAAGGCGCTAATTTAATCAAAATCGGTTTAGAAATGACCGAGCTTTTGTTGTTTTGTCACTTTTTAAAGTTTTATTAAGTGCATATTTGCGTATTTTTTCATCATTAAGTTATTTATGGTTTGTAAATACATCTGTTTCTACATTTTAACTAAAAAATAGTTAAAATTTATTATCGATTTTATTAAGACGTTTCTGAATTTTTAAATTTTAAACTCCTGACAAATTAAGATCAGGCAAATTAAGACATTTTTACCGGACGATTTAAGATAATCTCAGGGCGCATTAAATTTTACCCTAAAACTAAAAAGATTATCTCTCGTATTCTTTTCAGGCTTCCCAAAACTTAGTCATTCCTATGGACTCAAACTGGTCAAGGTACTCATCTTGGTGTCGGAGGTATCAATTCGTGCAATTGCAACGTTTCAATTCGCCCTGCTGACATATGTCCCCTGCTCACCACCCTTCATCATGTCCATGCTACCAACCTGTAACGAAATAATGGATAGTGATGACTGGTCAGTGACCATGGCGGCCTTTTTGGTCCACATCTTTGAGTTGTGGATGTCTTTTCACATCTTATCAGTAGGAGCAATTGTGATCATCTACGTCTTATTACTGGGCCTCGTCTGTATTCTAAGCTACATTCGGATATTGGAAAGGTTGGTAGAAAAGTGTGTTAATTTTAAATATTCATAAGCACTAGTTTGTGTCTAGTTCTTGCACCTTTTCAGGATTTCATGCATGAAAATTGCATGCAATTTTCATTTTTAGGTACCCAGTTTGGTTGGTTTAAAAAAAGGTTTCACTTTGCTCAATTTTAAATTAACCACCTTAAATGAGATTTTGAGATTACTCGGCCCTCTTATTTTGAATTTGAGAGGCGAGAGCAACTTTCCACTTATATTTCACGTGAAGGAACCCTAGCTGCACAGACCGAGAAATACACGTGCTCGATTGGGGTAAAGTCGTGGCAATCTGGGGTTCGTGTCAAATTCGTGTAAAATATTTTGGATACTCGTGTTTTTCTCTGTTGCAGAACACCAAAATCCACTGTGTTACAAAACACGTGTATTTTCCAAGGCAAAACTCGTGTTTCATATCCGTGTATTTTTGGTAACCAAGTCAGGGAAATACTCGTGTTAAAAACGTGTTAAAATGGTGTTTAGTTATTCTTTCCAAATGTTGCCTCCACCGCTAAACTTAATAAAGCACAGTACAGACACGGCAAGATTTTTGTGGATTTATGATAACAATTTATTTTAAGTTTAATTAATTACATATTTCTGAAAATGAAAAAATCCCGAGATAGACAGATGCAAAGGCAAGTTCGCAGCGCTGAATATAAAATTAAGTTGAGTGCCTTGATTTGCGATGCCCCTGCGAGTGCATTTGTGCTAGGAATAAAGTGCCATGCAGGATATAGTTCTTGTGGAAATTGTACTATTAAAGGAGTATACTATAAAAACCGAGTAATATTTCCATATGGCAACCACCCTGAAAGGACCGATGCATCATTTCGTGCAAGACTTGATCCACAACATCACCATGAAGCTACATTCATTGAAAAAACCGACTTGGATTTGGTCAGAGACTCACCAGGGGAGTATATGCATTTAGTGTGTCTTGGAATTGTAAGAAAAATCGTATTCTTGTTGACAAAGGGTAAAAAGTGTCCTGCCAGATTGCGGCCCCATCAAATCGAAGAGATTTCAAATGAGCTACTAAAACTTAAAAGGAGCATACCATGCGAATTTGCCCGTAAACCTCACAAATTGAAGGACCTTGAATATTGGAAAGCCACGGAATTTCGTCAGTTTATACTGTATACGGGCCCACTGGTTTTGAAAAACATAATTTCCAACGACTTTTATGAACATTTTATGTCACTACATGTTGCAATATCGATTTTGGCTGACAAAGTTCTTCATATAACACACAACAACTATGCACATGAATTACTTAACTATTTTGTCAAGCATTTTTGGAACACTTTATGGTGAAGAAAATATGTCGTTTAATGTGCACGGACTCCTACATTTAGCAAGCGACTGCATTAATCACGGCCAACTCGACAAATTTAGTGCATTCAAATTTGAAAATAAACTTCAAGAAATTAAAAACTTGGTGAGATCAACAAATTCCCCCCTACAGCAAGCGCACAGAAGACTGATCGAGAGGGAGAACCAAATCCTTCCAGCCGCCTCCACTCCATTAGTGCCATGCCTAAACTCGCCGTGGTCGTATTCCAACCCTCCAGCCTACTTCGCTAATTGTTCTGAATTTTATAAGAAGTTTCAGAACACATTATTTAAATTAAGTGTTTTAAGTGCAGATAGGGCGTGTGAAATACTAAATGGCGATATTGTGATTATTAAAACATTTCTTAAGAAAGACGGGAAGGAATTATTCGTTGGACGACAGTTTATAGATAGGACTAACTTTTACTCGACTCCGTGCCCATCTTCAGTGTTAAATATTTATTTATTGTCAAAACCTGGGCCAATTAAGTGCTTTAATACGTCTCAAATAGTGAAGAAAGTGATTTTACTACCGTGTGGCACTAAATATTTAGCGGCTCCTCTCATTCATCTGTCGGCATAACCATCACTAATAATTTAAAGTGAAGAATTTTATGCGCCACCGTAATAATGTCCACTAATAATTTTGTTTTTGTGAAATTTATTGACACTAATGAAATTGAGGTAGTGTCAACTGCATGGTTATGCGCAAATAATACTAAATGTGCATGGCCCAATTACAAAAATCCAAGCCGAATTGTTAAAGCTGTTGGTCAACATGAAGCTTCAGAACAAACCTGGTCAATTCATGACGTAAAACTTCTTGGGAGTGGGCATAAATTTGGTAATTTTAAATAAACTTGTGAATATTTGGTGTTGCGTTTAAATGCGATTCTTTTCAATTGCCATTTGTATTACAGCAACTTATCGCGAAGCCCTCCAAAAACTTCCAAAAGTGATGGACCAGTCAGACGCAGATGTTGGGAGCGGAAATGATAAAAACAGGTTGTGCCGAAACAAGGGAAATGCGAGCGACAGTTCTGGAAGCGATGGGGACGACTCACTCAGTCCTAAGATACCACGTCCGCCCATGATAGGCAAAAATTGTTGTAATTTCTATCATGATTGTTGACCAATAGCTACATTTTAATTGATGTTTAATTAATCATTTTAATTAATTTTTTCCCTTGTAGATTTACAAAAAGCTGGGCTGAAAGAATCAACTGAAGGGGAGCCGATTCCAGGAGGGAAGTCTAGCAGAAATAAGACATTAAGCAATAATAATATGCCGTTTAAGCTATGCTTAGGTAAGCTTCATTTGAAATATGTACATAGATTGATCATATTTTTATTTATCTATGCACTTTCTGCATACGCATGCAATAATAAATTTATTGTTTGCAGCTAATCAGGACAGTACCATAACTGTGAAAGGTACACAACCGGAAGTTATGGGTGGGAATCAAATATCCTACGATAAAGGTGCAGGCACGTCTTCAACAAGCAACGGCGACGCCCAACTCTCCATTATTGGGAACGACAACGAATCACCCGAAGTTGGAATACTTTCCGCCGCGCTGCCCAAATGAAATTCGATAGGCGCTCAGCAATCATCCTTGGAAGTAGAAAATTTTCTTCCCGGTACATAAAGAACGTTAACTTATTATAAAAATTAGCTAATGTAAACGAGTTATTTGTTTTCATAGGAAATCAATTTCAGAGTTGGGTGGTCAGAAATATCGCAAGCTTAAAAGTTCAGAGTCGTAACATTCAGGACACCTTGGATGCAATATTACTTCATTTGGATGGACAGAAAAAGCCCCAAGATGAAATTCGTCATCAAATTCCACTGATGAATATGGAGGATGTTAGCAAGGGGGCCGGCTATTATGAGATTTTGGCCAACCGCGAGTCCCTGGTAAATACATTTCAAATATATTATTCGTCTAATCGGATAAAGTAAATTTTCGTATCTACTTCAGGTGACACTTTTAAGGCAGCGTGGTTGTAGTAATGTTGCAAAGTGTACACGCCGCATATTATCAAAACTTTGTGGGGATCAGTTGGCCAACTGTTACAATTGGATCGGGTCAAGAGGAGGAAAATCAGCGTTCTGTGATGTATGGATGAAACAAGTAGTTTTCGGTAAATGTGTTCACGTACTATTTTAAACCTAACGCGTATAATACCTATCTGAAACAACACCACGTTTAATAGTGGAAGGTCACGTTAATTTTTTCTTTGAATATTTTAGATACGGTTCGTCAAAGTTTACCATCAAAGGCAGTGACAGATGACGAGATGGAAGCCGTAATTAAGGAATATTTGAAAGCAGCAGCAAAACGGTTGAAGAAAAATCATTGTGCTGATATGTATGTGAATACAATAACTAAATCCCGTTAAATTTTAAAGTTTATACTCATATTAATCTAATGTGTCAAATCATAGCGCTGGGACAATTTCCGATGGTGGATCAGACTTTATTAATCATGAGGAGTCGGATGACATATAATTTTTAACCATTAATCATTGTTCTCTGTTTGTTATGATTAATTGAAATAATTAAAATGAAATAAAGGCATGTCATGAACGGGAAAAATTGTGGCAATTCTCGGTGTTTATTTAGCGTAAAACACGTGTTTATTTCATGTATAAACACGAAAATTAAACGAGTTTATACCCTAATTATAAACGAGAATAACACGAGTTTTACACGTATTAGTTCTGTCCTAGACACGTGTTACACACAAATTTTACACGAGTCTAACACCGCAAAACGGCGACAATAACCCCCAATACTCACCATCTTTTACACCAAATCTTCACGTGTTAACCACGAGATTTCGTGTCCGCGGACTGGTGTTTTTCCCGTGTATTTCCCGAGTTTGTGCTACCAGGGAATTCTCTCGATTTACATGAGCGAAAACTGCTCGCGTGGAAAAAGTTCGCAGTTCCGTACAAATTTCGCTTGAAGAGGTGAGTACCGCTACCACTCCTTAACTCGAGAGAAATTTAAGCAAAAGGGGCGCATTTTTCACGTGAACAGCCCATACAGAGCTTTAGTTCTTAAAGACCTACAGGGCCAACCCTGCTTTACAAGCATGCAAGCATAAATTTGGTAGCACAAACTCGGGAAATACACGGGAAAAACACCAGTCCGCGGACACGAAATCTCGTGGTTAACACGTGAAGATTTGGTGTAAAAGATGGTGAGTATTGGGGGTTATTGTCGCCGTTTTGCGGTGTTAGACTCGTGTAAAATTTGTGTGTAACACGTGTCTAGGACAGAACTAATACGTGTAAAACTCGTGTTATTCTCGTTTATAATTAGGGTATAAACTCGTTTAATTTTCGTGTTTATACATGAAATAAACACGTGTTTTACGCTAAATAAACACCGAGAATTGCCACAATTTTTCCCGTTCATGACATGCCTTTATTTCATTTTAATTATTTCAATTAATCATAACAAACAGAGAACAATGATTAATGGTTAAAAATTATATGTCATCCGACTCCTCATGATTAATAAAGTCTGATCCACCATCGGAAATTGTCCCAGCGCTATGATTTGACACATTAGATTAATATGAGTATAAACTTTAAAATTTAACGGGATTTAGTTATTGTATTCACATACATATCAGCACAATGATTTTTCTTCAACCGTTTTGCTGCTGCTTTCAAATATTCCTTAATTACGGCTTCCATCTCGTCATCTGTCACTGCCTTTGATGGTAAACTTTGACGAACCGTATCTAAAATATTCAAAGAAAAAATTAACGTGACCTTCCACTATTAAACGTGGTGTTGTTTCAGATAGGTATTATACGCGTTAGGTTTAAAATAGTACGTGAACACATTTACCGAAAACTACTTGTTTCATCCATACATCACAGAACGCTGATTTTCCTCCTCTTGACCCGATCCAATTGTAACAGTTGGCCAACTGATCCCCACAAAGTTTTGATAATATGCGGCGTGTACACTTTGCAACATTACTACAACCACGCTGCCTTAAAAGTGTCACCTGAAGTAGATACGAAAATTTACTTTATCCGATTAGACGAATAATATATTTGAAATGTATTTACCAGGGACTCGCGGTTGGCCAAAATCTCATAATAGCCGGCCCCCTTGCTAACATCCTCCATATTCATCAGTGGAATTTGATGACGAATTTCATCTTGGGGCTTTTTCTGTCCATCCAAATGAAGTAATATTGCATCCAAGGTGTCCTGAATGTTACGACTCTGAACTTTTAAGCTTGCGATATTTCTGACCACCCAACTCTGAAATTGATTTCCTATGAAAACAAATAACTCGTTTACATTAGCTAATTTTTATAATAAGTTAACGTTCTTTATGTACCGGGAAGAAAATTTTCTACTTCCAAGGATGATTGCTGAGCGCCTATCGAATTTCATTTGGGCAGCGCGGCGGAAAGTATTCCAACTTCGGGTGATTCGTTGTCGTTCCCAATAATGGAGAGTTGGGCGTCGCCGTTGCTTGTTGAAGACGTGCCTGCACCTTTATCGTAGGATATTTGATTCCCACCCATAACTTCCGGTTGTGTACCTTTCACAGTTATGGTACTGTCCTGATTAGCTGCAAACAATAAATTTATTATTGCATGCGTATGCAGAAAGTGCATAGATAAATAAAAATATGATCAATCTATGTACATATTTCAAATGAAGCTTACCTAAGCATAGCTTAAACGGCATATTATTATTGCTTAATGTCTTATTTCTGCTAGACTTCCCTCCTGGAATCGGCTCCCCTTCAGTTGATTCTTTCAGCCCAGCTTTTTGTAAATCTACAAGGGAAAAAATTAATTAAAATGATTAATTAAACATCAATTAAAATGTAGCTATTGGTCAACAATCATGATAGAAATTACAACAATTTTTGCCTATCATGGGCGGACGTGGTATCTTAGGACTGAGTGAGTCGTCCCCATCGCTTCCAGAACTGTCGCTCGCATTTCCCTTGTTTCGGCACAACCTGTTTTTATCATTTCCGCTCCCAACATCTGCGTCTGACTGGTCCATCACTTTTGGAAGTTTTTGGAGGGCTTCGCGATAAGTTGCTGTAATACAAATGGCAATTGAAAAGAATCGCATTTAAACGCAACACCAAATATTCACAAGTTTATTTAAAATTACCAAATTTATGCCCACTCCCAAGAAGTTTTACGTCATGAATTGACCAGGTTTGTTCTGAAGCTTCATGTTGACCAACAGCTTTAACAATTCGGCTTGGATTTTTGTAATTGGGCCATGCACATTTAGTATTATTTGCGCATAACCATGCAGTTGACACTACCTCAATTTCATTAGTGTCAATAAATTTCACAAAAACAAAATTATTAGTGGACATTATTACGGTGGCGCATAAAATTCTTCACTTTAAATTATTAGTGATGGTTATGCCGACAGATGAATGAGAGGAGCCGCTAAATATTTAGTGCCACACGGTAGTAAAATCACTTTCTTCACTATTTGAGACGTATTAAAGCACTTAATTGGCCCAGGTTTTGACAATAAATAAATATTTAACACTGAAGATGGGCACGGAGTCGAGTAAAAGTTAGTCCTATCTATAAACTGTCGTCCAACGAATAATTCCTTCCCGTCTTTCTTAAGAAATGTTTTAATAATCACAATATCGCCATTTAGTATTTCACACGCCCTATCTGCACTTAAAACACTTAATTTAAATAATGTGTTCTGAAACTTCTTATAAAATTCAGAACAATTAGCGAAGTAGGCTGGAGGGTTGGAATACGACCACGGCGAGTTTAGGCATGGCACTAATGGAGTGGAGGCGGCTGGAAGGATTTGGTTCTCCCTCTCGATCAGTCTTCTGTGCGCTTGCTGTAGGGGGGAATTTGTTGATCTCACCAAGTTTTTAATTTCTTGAAGTTTATTTTCAAATTTGAATGCACTAAATTTGTCGAGTTGGCCGTGATTAATGCAGTCGCTTGCTAAATGTAGGAGTCCGTGCACATTAAACGACATATTTTCTTCACCATAAAGTGTTCCAAAAATGCTTGACAAAATAGTTAAGTAATTCATGTGCATAGTTGTTGTGTGTTATATGAAGAACTTTGTCAGCCAAAATCGATATTGCAACATGTAGTGACATAAAATGTTCATAAAAGTCGTTGGAAATTATGTTTTTCAAAACCAGTGGGCCCGTATACAGTATAAACTGACGAAATTCCGTGGCTTTCCAATATTCAAGGTCCTTCAATTTGTGAGGTTTACGGGCAAATTCGCATGGTATGCTCCTTTTAAGTTTTAGTAGCTCATTTGAAATCTCTTCGATTTGATGGGGCCGCAATCTGGCAGGACACTTTTTACCCTTTGTCAACAAGAATACGATTTTTCTTACAATTCCAAGACACACTAAATGCATATACTCCCCTGGTGAGTCTCTGACCAAATCCAAGTCGGTTTTTTCAATGAATGTAGCTTCATGGTGATGTTGTGGATCAAGTCTTGCACGAAATGATGCATCGGTCCTTTCAGGGTGGTTGCCATATGGAAATATTACTCGGTTTTTATAGTATACTCCTTTAATAGTACAATTTCCACAAGAACTATATCCTGCATGGCACTTTATTCCTAGCACAAATGCACTCGCAGGGGCATCGCAAATCAAGGCACTCAACTTAATTTTATATTCAGCGCTGCGAACTTGCCTTTGCATCTGTCTATCTCGGGATTTTTTCATTTTCAGAAATATGTAATTAATTAAACTTAAAATAAATTGTTATCATAAATCCACAAAAATCTTGCCGTGTCTGTACTGTGCTTTATTAAGTTTAGCGGTGGAGGCAACATTTGGAAAGAATAACTAAACACCATTTTAACACGTTTTTAACACGAGTATTTCCCTGACTTGGTTACCAAAAATACACGGATATGAAACACGAGTTTTGCCTTGGAAAATACACGTGTTTTGTAACACAGTGGATTTTGGTGTTCTGCAACAGAGAAAAACACGAGTATCCAAAATATTTTACACGAATTTGACACGAACCCCAGATTGCCACGACTTTACCCCAATCGAGCACGTGTATTTCTCGGTCTGTGCAGCTAGGGCAGCCATTCAAATTGTGTCTTTGTTCATATGCATCAATTTACACGGAGAAATACAAATGCCTGGCTTCATCATCTTCCCAATACTGTGGATTGACGCGATATGGGGCACCACGGTATTATTCTCGCTGGCTTCCCTGGTGCACACGTGGTCCAAGCGGTTGCTGATGCAGATGGCCAATTCAGCCATGTTGGTAGGAGATGGGAGCTTGATGAAGAGGAAGATCAGATCCTGGTCACCGTTGAAGATTAAATTCGGATGCAATTTTGTGGATCGAAGGACACCGTTAATCATTCAGCATTTCTGTCTCAATCGGACCATGACGATGATACTCGCGTCGAAACGTCGGAATTAACAGAGGACATCGTACTACGATATCATTAAATGGCAAATCGAAAATATGTCCAAAATAAATTGTTTGAAATCTATGTACGGGTTTCTAGAATCCATCGAAATATGAAAATTCGGCGGCACCCCTTTCATGAAAGA